TAAACGGTAGCCTACTAAAATGCCGTTAACAGATATTGAGACGTCATTCATGTCGGCGGAAAGTAATGCCTGGGCTATAAGCATTTTGAAAGAGCGCCTGTGGCTCCGTGGCCGAGGCTATCGCTTCGTGAGCGAATGGTCCGGGGTTCAAATCTCACGCCGACCAAGACTTTTTTATATTTTTTTTTGCTTATAGCGTGATCTTATTGCATTGGTTTCACTCTTTTTGGTTGGATTGGTTTAGTTATTTGGTGGGTTGGTTAGCGTGGTTATTTGGAGGGTGTTAGTTCATTGGTTAGTTGGTTATGTGGTGGGGTTGGTTGGTTTTTACTAATTTATATTTGTTTTTTATATTTTTTTATCAGTGTCGAGGTTAGTTGCGTTGGTTATTTGGTGGGGTGGATAGCGTTGGTTGGTTAGTCCTTATAAAATTCCTATATTTCATAAAGCCGTCAAGTGCGTCACATCAACGACGTCATACCTATTAACGGCATTTTAGTAAGCTACCGTTTAACGGCAGTTTAAGTACAGCCTTTTTTTTACGAAATTTTTACGAAAAACATCAAGTGAATATCGTTTCCCCTCTCACGGATACCCCGTAGCTACAGAACGGACAGACGTACCGTAAAAATGATTTTTTAATATTTACTTATCAATTAATGAAAACGTTTTTTCTTACGAACATTAGCAATTTTATGTTAACAATAATACATCAGTAATAGGTTATACAGTACGTCTGCTGGATCTGTGTCTATGAAAGGAATGCGGACAAAAAATATTTAAATAAACAGCAATATATTTTATACGTCGACTTGACGAGTACGTCACCGCAAATCGCTCCGCCCACTTATTTGGGCTACTTGCAAATTTGTCACAGGCTACTTGCAAATTTGTCGAATTCTTATTGATGGGACGCGTCGTCTAATTTTTTACGAAAAAAATCGAGAGAAATATCATTTCCCCTCTCACGGATACCCCGTAGCTACAGAACGAACAGACGTACTGTAATCAACAGAAACATTAATGGGTATTAAATTGTAGACTTTCAGATAGGTATAATATACTTTTACTAATATTGTATTGACGAAGAACAAACAATATTGATAAAAATATGCATATCTCTATATCCATTGACTTAGGAAAATTAAAAATGCACGGTATAAATATATCCCTACTAAGAAAGTTGAATTTGTCAAACAAATTGAAAAAAACAAATAAAAATTAGAAATTTATCACTTACTTGTTTCAAAAATATCAAAAATACTGTCAAGTACTGCGAACTTACTGATCTTTTCGGCTGCTCATTAAATAAGGAATTACCAAATATCTTTGGGAATTACACAACTCCGACCTCTGATCGAATTTCTAAAAAAATCTTACAGTTGAATGTCTGAATTAATACAAAATATATAGGTACAGTATAAACATTATTATATATTTCTTATTCAAACATACAAAAGGACAGTATAACATTAAATATATGTACAAGGAAAAGCAAACTTATATTTTAATTGATTTTTTGGATCTTTCATATTTTGTCTTCGCATGTTGAAGTGTCTTATTCATGGTTTCAAATTCCTCTTTGGTAAAGTTTTGAAATCTATATCCAATCATTTCTAAAGCAGTAAAAATAAAAACAATCAGTTGTAATAAATATAAAACAATGAGTAACTTCCTCTTGTGACAGTAATCTTTGAGGCCCCTTCATGTCCTTATTTTAAAAATCTCAAATGATTAAAACATCATTAAAAAAATATTATTGGGAATAATTAATACTGAATATTATTTGTGATTTTATCATTAGATTGATATACTCAAAGATATTTAAACTCAAGTTTAAATATCTTTGGATATACTCGTATCCTGGTTTTATCTACTTCAATTTTCAGTTGGCTAAAAGCTAACCTGAAACAAAATTTAGCTTATAAACAAACTAAACAAAATTTGTTATACTTATTCATGGCTTATTAAAACGCACATGACAATAAAATTATACTTACATTTACGTTCATTAAAATCTCATTCGAAAAGCTAAAACGTGATACCAAAAACGCATACGTTCAAATAAAATATACGACGGCCTCCCCATAAGAGCAATGAGAGGATTTACGTCCCAGTATTGAAAGAGGACAGAAAATCGAGTCGAATGGTTTCAAGACATAGGCAAAGAGTAGATAAGACAAGAGACGACAGTTCGCGCGGTACCTTTCATGTTTGAGTGGTGGGGAGAGTGACCTCGTCTCGCTTGTCCCTTTAAATTTTCGTAACTTTTTCGCGGGAAATTTGAAATAGACTATTATTAAAATTTGCCTGTATAGCTTATAAATAGTTACTGTGTGGGTAAAGAGATAAATAGAAACGAAAAAAATGAGTTTTCTAAATATTATATAAAATAAATTATAATTAGAAACATATTTGTCGGGGAATAAAGATAATAAAAGCAATATTTTGTATATCGTTGGTAAACAAGAGAAAGTGACCAAGTCGATTTGTAAGAAATGTTTTATTTACGTGTATTTTTTTTACATATGGACTTGAACAAGTGTAATATCACAATGTGGAGTTTATGTACAAAAAAATAGAGTTGCTCAATTTTTATTTAATAAATCCTCGCAATTACAAGCTTCTAACCATGTCTTCGATCTATGGATTACATTTAGTTTAATAACATAATTATATAGTATATTTCTATAAAAATACTTTTCAGGATCCTTTGGAAAAGAGTGAAATATTATGTTTGTCGAAGAACAAGACCTATTTTTGCAGTCTTTATAAGCACACACAATGCCACCATCTCGTCTTTTCCTGCTACTCGTGTCCTGTTCAGTATTCATATTTAACAATAATTACAAATTAGAACGCAATAAAAACGATACTAAAATTAAACCTTAAAAACTCTCAAAACGATAATATATCGAAAAACTCTGAAAACACACTTTAAAAAGGCAAAAATGCAAGAAAACAACTAATCAGATTTGTTTATGTTTAAGCCTGATTAGCACAGCTGATTAGCGTCCTAAAATCTTAGGTTCGAATAAATAAAATGCGCAGTTGTCAGATTTTCAGATTTTATCTGTTTATCTTGAAATCGACCAACTTTAGTCATTCTGTTTCTTTGATATTATCAGTACATTGCGAAAAAGAACCTAAACCAACCTAAACTAAAATTTACATTTCCGTATTAACATACGTTACTTTATATCCTTCTTATATTATTAATTTATTTTCAGAAAATCTTGTTTATTTTTCAAAGAAATATACTTGGCAACAGACAAAATGGGACTTGATGGGACCTTTAAATTTTAATATATCTGCGTCTCTCTCGCGAAATTCGACTTCTTTGTTCACTGTCGTCTCTTGTCTTATCTACTCTTTGACATAGGTTCATCCTAAGGGTTCATCCTTGTTTAGTCAAACCTCCTACAACTACAACACAAGGATAGGCTTATGTAGGAAATGCATTGAAATTCTATAGCCATCCTTCAATATCGGGACAGGAATTTAAGCGGTACCCTCCGTATACTTTATTTTAAACGTATTTGCAAAAACGAAAAAAAAAGTGCGTTAACCTAACCTAACTTCTAACTTATACTTTGAACAAACTTTGAACTTATACTCTTTGTATCATGGACCATACCCTTGAATGCCTTTGATCATACCTGTGATCTGTAATCATACCCATATCATACTCTTTGACCAGAGCTTTGACTATACAGGATGTTTCAAAACAAATGCGAAAAACTTCAGGGGGTGATTCCTTGTTCAAAATAAAGGGTAGTTTGCTTCATAAACGTTGGGTCAAAAGTCAACCATTAGGGAAATATCGCGCTACAAAGATGGCGGAACAATAATGTTTTTATTTTTTATCTTGAAAACGAAAAGAGATATATAAACTAATAAAATTTTATGGAAGCATTACTGTTATGAAAACACACTTTCTGGTAATTTTTTCACTTTTTTAAAATGAGTGGAAGGGGTTGAAATAAACTACCCCTATCATTCTTGTTAACGAAATTTAAAGAAAAATCTTATCAAACACACGCAAAAAAATTAATTTGGATAGTTTAGTTTGTTTAGAAACTTTTTATCTCTTGTATTTTTTGATAAAACTCACCGATTTGAAATTAAAAAATAAAATGTAAAGCATTACATGCCAGGACAAAAAACATTTTTTGATAAAGAATCTAGTGGGCTGCTGTAATTTTTTTAGGAAAAAATCTAGTCGGCCGCTGTTACTTTTTAGGATGTTTCTAATATTATTTTATTTGACACTACTCTACTGCAATACGTTATTATCTAGATTATTATTATTATCGTTATTATCACTAGATTCTTAATCTAAAAATGTTTTTTGTCCTGACATGTAATGCTTTACATTTTATTTTTTAATTTCAAATCGGTGAGTTTTATCAAAAAAACACAAGAGATAAAAAACAAACTAAACTATCCAAATTAATTTTTTTGCATGTGTTTGATAAGATTTTTCTTTAAATTTTGTTAACAAGAATGATAGGGGTAGTTTATTTCAACCCCTTCCACTCATTTTAAAAAAGTGAAAAAATTACCAGAAAGTGTGTTTTCATAACAGTAATGCTTCCATAAAATTTCATTAATCTATCTCTTTTCGTTTTCAAGATAAAAAATAAAAACATTATGGTACCTACCAACCTAATGGTTGACTTTTGACCCAACGTTTATAAAGCAAACTACCCTTTATTTTGAACAAGGAATCACCCCCTAAAGTTTTTCGTATTTGTTTTGAAACACCCTGTATAACAAATAGGCATAAGATTGGCGTTAATCTTTGGGTTTACTTGGTTACTATCTGGTTACTATTACTATTAATCGTTTTCATTTTTGATTGTTATAAATAATAAAATGTTTAATTTTTAAATGTATGTATGTGACCGTTAAAAAATTTATAAAAACCGCCATCCATTGTCCAATAGTAGCTGATAATTTGACGGTAAAATAAATGTCAATCATGTCATATGTCATTTGGTATGTTTCAAATTTCAAAAAAGAATGTTGCCGAGATGCTGAGTGTTGTTTGTTTTTATACCTAATAGTCAAGAATAGCTTTAAAAATGTTTATTAACGATGTGAATAAAAAGGAAGAAATTCGAAACATTGCCATACAGCATTTAAGAAAGGATGGTATCAAATATAGACCAAAAAAGGGGCGTCCACCCCCTCAGGTAAATATTCTTACACAGGAGTAGAATGCATTGTGGAATGAATACAAAAGACTATAATCTGCTATAATTTTGTTGTTTTAGATAACTAGATATGGAAAAAAATTCTTTAAAGTGCCATTAGTTAACTTGGAGACTGAGACAGTAACATTATCAAATGGTCAACAACTGACAATACCAAAGAGAATTCATGAATTATGTACTTACATTTTATCCAGAGTACAGACTGAAGGAATTTTTAGAAAGGAGGGCTCAAAATCTCGACAAAATGAAATCAAAGTAATTTTGCAGTTGTTTAAATATTAACAACGAATGAAAATTTATTTTTCTAGTTGTTGCTTGACCGTGGCTGTAGTTTAGGAGATGAACACCATGTAATAGATATAGCAGTGGTTTTAAAATGTTTTTTAAGAGAACTACCAGAACCACTCATTCCATCTAATTACCATGAGCTGTTTTTACGCTGTAGCATAGTTGAAAACAAGTTAGAATCTTTGTTGTTGTCGTGTTTATTGTTGCCAAGTGAAAATTTAAATGTTTTATCTTATTTAATGCAGGTAAAGTTGGATTTTTATTTTGGTCAGTCTCAATTTTTTTTTATTAAATTATTCTAGTTTTTTTATGAAGTGGCTGGATATTCTTCATGTAACAAAATGAATTTTGGAAACCTATCGATTTTGGTAGGGCCTAATATATTTCCTATTGATGAGAAAATGGTTCCAAAATCCTCTCTTATGATTACAAAGATATGTGATATAACAAAATTGTTAATAGAAAATTCTAAGAATATTGGAGTTATTCCTGACAATATAATAGAACAAGTGGGACAAATAAGAGAAGCTGAGTCTGAAAAAAGAAGAAAAAATAAAAGGAGAAGTGGTTCGTTAACAAGTAAATAGTTTACTAAATAGAAAAGAACTAAAAACTATTTTTACTTGCTTGATTTAAACTATATTTTAACACATTTTTATACATAGGAATGTTCAGTGGTCTAAAGAAAATTGTCAGTAGTAAGTCAGATGAAGATTTAATTGGAAATAATATAGTTACACCTGATTTGTTAACGCCTACTGTATCATATTTGAAGAAAAGGAAGGCAGAGAGTGGGTTGTCACTGAAAAAAAAGTATAGTAATTATTTTATTTATACCATTTTTATGTAACAAATGTTTTTTTTTCAATCTAGGAAAGATGTTTTAACAAAATTGCCTGATTGTGCCCTATTAAATACACCCTTTAGTCCAACCAGGACTCCGGTCAGCGTGAATCCAAAGTACGTTTCAAAGTATTAAATATGTTATTTTGATTTAAGAGTTACAATGTTTTAGTGGTTTAAAGACGAATAGTGTCCTAAATCTGGACCCAGAATGTGATAACATGTAAGTTTTTGATATTAATAAATAAAAGTAAAAAATGTAAACTGAAATATTTTATAAAAATTCAAAATATGAGATTTCTTCTCTTAGTCACAAGGAAAAGAAAATGCACTGGTACATGAGAAGCAAAAGTATGAAGAGTTTAAAAGAAGATGAAATACCTACACGAAGGAACAGTTTGGGCGCCAAATCTTTGTTGGAAAGAAGATGGTCTGCTGTGAGTAATGCTGCCAACTTGAGGTGAGCCAACAGAGATAAATAATTATAATAATAAGGCAATTAAAATTATTTGTTGTAACACAAATAGAAAGAAAAAACGGAACTCTTGTGCTGGTACTAAAAAAGAACTCATGCTATCACAAAAGAATCTCGGTTTGAAACTAGAGGAGCCGGACTACATTAGAGTACCTAAAGTGGAGTATGAGGATTTTAAAAATAGGATTACAGAAATAGAAAGACGAATCTCTTTGGAGTTGGAAAATGCACATACTATGGATACTAGAACAGTGGAAACCCAGGTAGGGATGTGTAAAAATATTGATACTGAAGTCGAAAAGAATCGATTTTTTAAATATACACGATTTTATTTCTCAGATCGAGATGTAGGAACTTATCGATTTTTTTTGAAGTATCAATACCGAGTACGTCTCAAAAGTGGCTCAACTCTATAGGATTTATAGAAAGAGGGCTTTAACTAAAAGGCACAAATATAATTTAAAAGCAAATGGAGCTTTCTTTATTTTATAAAATAAAGTTTACAGCTACAGTGCGTACATACGACTAAACGCAACTAATAGAAAATCGGCAGAGATCGAACTTTTCAGTTCCATAACCTATTCAATTCTTTTCAGTCACTTCTTGTTTCACCATGCTAATGGGCCACCCTCGTTCCATTTGAGAAAATTGAGATATGATTAAAAATACGATTTAGGCATCTTTTAACTGGCCAGGGTAAGACACGAAAAATATTAGACGATAAAATCTATTTTTCCAAAGCTCCTTAATTAAAAATTAGTGTTTTTAACACAGCCATGGCACTCTGGATTGAAATTTAAAATACAATTTATTTTTAAGCAAAAATGTCAAAAGTTGACATATTATATGTCATTCAGAGTGCCATTTTCTATCGAATAAAGTAAAAAAAATACCGAGGGTGCCATTTAAAAATCAAAAGTTGTAGTCATTTCCGGTGAAACAGGAAGTGACCGAAAATAATTGAATATGTCAATCAATCCAAATTTATGTCATATACTAGCATATGAACTACTAAATCTTGTTTTTCTATCTGAAAAAATAAAAACTTATAGAGGTGTGCCACTTTTGAGACGCATCCGGTATACTGATATTATCGATATACTTTTTAAATATCTACATTTTTATTTTCAGAAACAACTTATGGACAATAACAACATAGAAAACGTCCAAACCGCTTACAAAAAAACTTTAGAGTCGGCTTCGATCAGTCCCATCACAGATCAGCTAGCTAGGAGGCTAAGCAGGGATCTCAGAATTCGCAGGAGCGCAGATAATAAGATAATTCGATCTCCCAGCGCTCGAAAAATAGGGAGTATTAGAAGAAGGTCGACAGAAAGAGAGAAAAAAGGGGCTCAGGTCGTTAGGAACCAGTCCTGGCACGTAGGGACAGTGTCCCTCATTCCTAGGATCGAGATAACGAGGAAAAAACAGGATGCAACAGACTTAACTCCAACATTACAAAAATCGCCTGCAATGTCTAAAAGATCCCTAGGACTCAAACCAAGAAGCCCTACGACCTTTACAGGAAACGCTAAGAACTTGCCACAATCGAGCCCTCAGATTTCAACCAACGTATCCGGCTCTACGAGTTTTGACACGACAGCGACGTCATCGGATCATTGGATCAGTGCAGAGGGTTTCTTTACCAGCCCTAGTAGTCCGCAAGACGTGTCCGCTAATGGTAGGGCTTCTGTGGCTAAACTGAGAAGTCAGAATATGGGTATGGTGAGAGCCAAAGCACGGTAAGTTTTTCATTTGTAAATATTTTTTTCCAATTCTATAATTATTACTTTTTAGCTTGTTTGATAACTTAAAAGACTGTGATTCTTCTATATCTTCAAATCAATCTTCACAATCTCAACCCAGTTCGATAAAAAGGTCTATAAACAGATCTGGTAATGGTATATCTGTTAAAAGTAGTGACTCTACTAGAATGTCTCATAGGTTTGTATTGTAAATAAGTTTAAATTTAAATTTTTTGGCGCAAAGTGTGGCGGTTGAGATCTTATGAATTTAGGAACTGTAGAAAGAGCCAGGAATAGGAGGATAAAACCTTTCCGTAAAAACTAGTTTTTTACATGTACGGAAACTAGTTTTTATGAGGTGCATTTTCTACGTATAGAACATGTATGTCGGGAAGGTAGAGACATATCTATTTTTATTAGTTTTTAACGTGTTTTTATTAATTTGTACGGTTTTTTTTTTCACCAAAAAGTAAAAAATGGGAAGAGACGCGTAAAAGTCCGTGCTTGTTGGCAGTTTATTGTCATCATTTTATATTATACCTTAAAGAAAAACTATATAGGTTTGGTGCATTCTCCGCCGGCGCTGCCGCAATCGGAGAATATCGTAAACAACTAATATATACAAATACAAGGGTTTAAATAGCGAGTATACGAAAAATTTATTATATAACTATTCTAAAAGTTTTAGGAAGTATAATTTGTAAAAACTCTAAAAATAAAAATAAAAAAGTAAATATTTTGATATCTTCAGAAGGTCTAACTTGTATTATAATTTATTATTTCAGCTAAAAAAACTTTTTAGATGAGCTCAACTACAGTAACGAGCATAGTTTTATGCACCAGTTTTGCTAGTGGGGCATAATTGGGGCTATATCGGCTATAGGCTTGGTGCATTCTCCGCCGGTGCTGCCACCATCGGAGAATATCGTAGTAAACTAGCATATACCAATAGCGAGTATACGAAAAATGTATTATTAAATTATTCTAAAAGTGTTAGGAAGTATAATTTGTGAAAATTCTAAAAATAAAAATAAAAAAGTAAATATTTTGATACCTTCAGAAAGTCTAACTTGTATTATAATTTATTATTCCAGTTAAAAAAGAATTAGATGAGTTCAGCTACGGTAGCGAGCATAATTTTATCACCGGTTTTGCTAGTGGGGCATAATTGAGGCTACTTCGGCTATAACGAAATTTTTTAAAGGTACATAATTATAATTTTAGATGTTCATAAAACATTTAATCACTAGTGGATTAAAAAAAGTATACCATTAATATTGCAAATTATATTTTATCCTCTCATAGTAAAGTACGTCTACTGGATCTGTGTCTATGCAAAGAATGCGGACAAAAATATTTAAATAAACAGCAATATATTTTATAAATCCGTACCTAAATAGAAACGGCAGAAAACACTCCATCCACTCATTTCATTGGCTACTTGCAAATTTGTCAATTTTTTTTTTGATGGGACGCATCGTCTAATTTTTTACGAGAAACGTCAAGAGAATATCGTTTCCCCTCTTACGGATGCCCCGTAGCTACAGAACGGATAGACGTACTGTATATGTCCATATAGTTTTTTGATTATGTAACGAGCACTTTGTTTTGTTTACTCACTTGTTTCGTCGAACTGCTTGAATCCATTTTTGCTTTTGATCAAATCGGTGTAAGAACTATGAAGCTATAAAATGCTGTTTCGGAACAGTTGAATATCCGGGAAAGTTGAGTTATTGAATGTTATTGCACCCAACAACGCCCTAATTACGCTCTCCTTTACGCGTTAACATATTTTCTGCAATTTTATTAACATTTGAAATCGTCACAACACAACACGGCGCGGCGCCTAGTTCGGATTCTTTTTAACTTATTTTTTATTATACCTGAGTGTTTTATAGTTTCAATAACTTCACTAGCAAAAAACTAAAATACTTGATTATTATGATAAAGCAACGATCTCAATATTATTTTAATGCGATCAACATGAACTGTAATCGGGACGGCTCGGCGTGAAATACATAGCGAAAATTTCTGATTTCTGCCGTATACAGCGCTGCGGTCGAAATTTTTTGTAATCAGCTGAAATGCACCAAGCCTGATAGTGCTAAATTGTTTATTTATATCTAATAAAATTCTAGGATAAGAGCTTTAAGATCTGAAGAGAAAAAATATAAGAAAAATAGCATTTCTCCGAGACGTAAGTATGGAAACGTTTCTCAAAAGCAAAAACTACAAGCTCTGGGAAAACAGTATATCAAAAGCAATAAAGAGACTAGTTCCAGTGATATATTACAGGTATTTTAATAAAACCATGTGCACAAATAAAGATCAGATTAAAGTTATTTGTGTTTTAGGATTATACAGAGATGACTACACCTCGTAGAGATCTGAATGGCATTGAAAAAGCGATATCGTCACCACGAAGAGGTCAGAATCAAAATATGCCATATATTAAAGTACCGCTTACTGTAAAAACACCAAAAAGACTCTGTAGAACGCCTGGAGTTGATAGAAAGACTCCACTACGTGTTTTAGCTACGCCTATATAGAGGTTCTCATTTTTAATGTTGATTTCTGATTTTTATTTGTTTAAACCTTTTTTTTGCAACAAGTGTATCGTTATTTAACTATCTGTTTTTTTTATTAATACTTTTGACAAGAGTGAGTTTTCTTATTTTTAGTTTTTTGTTTTGTTGCTCAATTTTAATCAAGAATCTCAACTCAGCTCAACTACTGATTTGAATATCAACTGTAAATGTATTTTTAGATATTAAAATATTATATATTTATATTATAATGTGATTATCTTATGATACTGTTATACATCATAAAAATAATAAAAAATAATTATCTACCTTATAATATTTATTTTCTATTATAATTATTCCTAATATTTTATATCTAACTTATGGTAAATTTGAAATTAATTCGAATGAGCTAGTTAAAAATTACCCAGAAAATTACCGTAATAACACAGATAATAACTACTGTTTTTTAAATAAAAAATGTTAATATGATTTTAATAAAAAAAAATTAATGTGCGCTTTCATGGAACACAGCGGCTGACCGATCGCTGAGTATTTTGCTCAGCGGCTGACTATTTTTGCGTGTAAAAAGAGACGACCGTTTAGGGCTTTGAATAAGGTTTAGGGAAACCGTTTACTCAGCCGCTGACCGTCCCTGAACGCGCCCAATGTCACTTTTTGTGCTTTTTGTTTTTTAGTCATTGGAACATCGGTATAAAATCGTTTTTAATCATGATTCTAGTTCTCTGAAGCCCCGTTCTCAGAACGACGACGTATCACCAGTATGTCACCAGCTACACTTGCTGTCCTCCATTCGCGAACTTCGAGTTCCGGGCTTTACGCCCTGGGGCTACTCGAGAACGGTTCTGAAAGGAGCGGTGCGCGATAGGCAAGGATACTATATAGAGATATGGATTGTTCGATTCCTATCCTCCTGCACTGTCAGTTTTTCTACGTCATCTAATGACCCAGTTGCATTTCGCGCCAAAAGTTTTAGACAGTGACAAAGAATATCTTAATACCCTAGAAGTCTCGTCTGGCATCAAAATCTGACCTGTCGATGGGGCCTCGCTTTGGCGAGCGAGGCCCCAACTTCGTGGAGCCTCGCTATTTTGCTCGGAATTGAACGAATAGACGCGCGGCGTTGCCTTGTTTTGTGTGTACTTTCTTGAATAGTTTTAAATTATAGTTTCAAATTTATTCTATTGCTATAATCAGTCTTTCCGTTCTCCGCACTCCGCCAGTTTACATATAATATTATCTTATATAATTCCCGTGTTACAGTTTTGGTTACTGTATTACTCCTCAGAAACGGCTTAGCTGATTTTTGATGAAATTTTATATGTGTATATTCAGTAGGTCTGAGAATAGGTAGTTATATATTTTTTATACCCTTAAATGATAGGTGGAGTCCACTTTCATTTTTTTATTTTGTGAAAACAATATTTTATTTTTTTTATTTGGCATTAAAAAATACAAACAACACTAAATTTTTCAATTGTTCTATCACCGTTCTTCTTTCATCCCTATTTTTTAATAGGGTTGTTGTTTTTTAATTTTTGTTACCATCTCCGAAACAAGCTTAACCGATTTTGATAAAATTTTATATGTATATTCAATACGTCTAAGAATAAGTTGTTATCTATTTTTATACCCTTAACTGATAAGGGTAGCCGAGAGGGTAACCCACCCTCTTTTTTTTAGTTTTTGAAAAGAAAAAATGTTTTTTTATTTTTATTTGGCATTAAGAAATACAAACAACCCTAAATTTTCACCGTTCTGCTATCATCCCTATTTTTAATAGAGGTTTGTTTTTCATTTTTTTGTTGCCATCTCCGAAACGGCTTAGCCGATTTTGATGAAATTTTATAAGTATATTGAGTAGGTCTGAAAACAAGGTTGTTATATTTTTTATACCCTTAAGGGATAAGGTGGTAGCCACTCCCATTTTTTTATTTAAAAAAAATATTTTTATTTTTTTTATTTTGGCATTAAAAAAATACAAACAACCCTAAGTTTTCACCGTTCTACCATCATCCCTATTTTTAATAGGGGATGTTTTTTTAATTTTTGTTACCATCTCCGAAACGGCTTGATCGATTTTGATGAAATTTTATATGTAATATTCAGTGGGTCTGAGAATACGTTGTTATCTGTTTTTATACTCTTAAGGTGATAAGGGTAGCCCACCCCATTTTTTTTTTGCTTTTTGAAAAAAAAAATATTTTAATTTTTTTTATTTGTCATTAAAAATACAAACAACCCTAAATTTTCACCCGTTCTACCATCATCCCTATTTTTTTTTTTAACAGGGGTTTGTTTTTTAAGATTTTTGTTACCATCTCCGAAACAGCTTAACCGATTTTGATAAAATTTTATTTGTATATTCAGTTACGTCTAAGAATGGGTTGTTATCTATTCTTATACCCTTAAGTGATAAGGGTAGCCGAGGAGGGTAGCCCACCCTCATTTTTTTATTTTTGGAAAAAAATAATTTTTTTTATTTAATACCTTAAAAATACAAACAACTCTAAATTTTCACTGTTCTACTCATCATCCCCCTATTTTCTAATAGGGGTTGTTTTATTTGATACCATCTCAGAAACGGCTTGGCCGATTTTGATGACATTTTATTATGTATATTGAGTAGGTCTGAAAATAGTTTGTTGTCTATTTTTTATACCTTAAGTGGTAAGGGTAGCCCACCCCCATTTTTTATTTTTTGAAAAAAAATATTTTTAATTTTTTTTTTGGCATTAAAAATACAAACAACCCTAAATTTTTCCGTTCTACCATCATCCCCTATTTTTAAACAGGGGTTGTTTTTAAGATTTTTGTTACCATCTCCGAAACGGCTTAACCGATTTTGATAAAATTTTATATGTATATTCAGTACGTCTAAGAATAGGTTGTTATCTATTCTTATACCCCTTAAGTGATAAGGGGTAGCCGAGAGGGTAGCCCACCCTCATTTTTTATTTTTGGAAAAAAAAATATTTTTTTATTTGGCCTTAAAAATACAAACAACTCTAAATTCCTTTCACCGTTTTACCATTATCCCCTATTTCTAATAGGGTTGTTTTTTTTGATACCATCTCCGAAACGGCTTGGCCGATTGTGATGAAATTTATAAGTATATTGAGTAGGTCTGAAAATAGTTTGTTATCTATTTTTTTATACCCTAAATGGTAAGGGTAGACCACTAATTTTTTTATTTTTGAAAAAAAAAATTTTAATTTTTTTATTTGGCATTAAAAAATACAAACAACCCTAAATTTTCACCGTTCTACCATCATCCCTATTTTTTAATAGGGTTGTTTTTTTTAAGTTTTTTGTTACCATCTCCGATTGACCGATTTTGATAAAATTTTATATGTATGTATATTCAGTACGTCTAAGAATGGGTTGTTATCTATTCTTATACCCTTAAGTGATAAGGGTAGCCGAGAGGGTAGCCTACCCTCATTTTTATTTTTTGAAAAAAAAAAAGATTTGTTTATTTGGCCTTAAAAATACAAACAACTCTAAATTTTCACCGTTCTACCATCATCCCCTATTTTTAATAGGGTTGTTTTTTTAAAGTTTCTTGTTACCATTTCCGAAACGGTTTTGCTTCGATTTTGATGAAATTTTATTATGTATATTGGTAGGTCTGAAAATAGTTTATTTATCTATTTTTATACCCTTATGATAAGGGTAGCCCATTCCCATTTTTTTATATTTTGAAAATATATTTTTTATTTTTATTTTTGCATTAAAAATACAAAAACCCAAAATTTTCACTGTTCTACCATCATCCCCCTATTTTTTTAATAGGGTTGTTTTTTTTTTTGTTACCATCCGTGAAACAGCTTTGACCGATATTGATAAAATTTTATATATGTATATTCAGTAACGTCTAAGAATAGGTTGTTATCTATTTTTATACCCTTATGTGCAGTAGGGTAGCCCACCCTCATTTTTTATTTTTGAAAAAAAATGTTTTTATTTTTAGTTGGCATTAATAAATACAAATAACCCTAAATTTTTTTCACCGTTCCACCATCATCTCCCTATATTTTAATAAGGTTGTTTTTTTTTAATTTTTTGTTACCATCTCCGAGAACGGCTAGACCGATTTTTGATAAAATTTTATATGTATATTCAGTAGGTCAGTTTGGTTTGGTTTTGGTCACAACCTATTCCTAGGTTATCTATTTTTTATACCCTAAGTATTGATAGGTGGCCCACTAACTTTTTTTTTATTTTTTTAGACAATTTTTTTTTTATTTTAATTGTTTTATAGGAAGTGCTTATTTTTAGGGGGTGCATGTCCAAAATTTTCTTCTGGGTTTTACACTTTCATCACTTAAGGGACCTCTGTACAAAAATTGCATACTCCTAGTCCTAGAACGGATTTTACATAAAAATTATACAAATTTTTACCCTTAGTTTTACTTACCTTAAGGAATGAATTCCAAAATCGCTCTAATTATTCAATTACACTACATAATAAACCTCTGTGCAAATCATCATATATGATCATCATCATATTCCATGAACAGAATTTATTGTTCCAGAACGTTCAACCCTTCATTTCACACCCTTAGAGGGCGAATTTCCAAAAAATTGCTTCTTAGTGCTAGAATTACGTTACATAAGGAGACGTATTTAAAATTCATACTTCTACAACCTGATTTTTTAAATTAAATTTTTGTACAAATATTCATCCCTTATTTTTTTAGGGGATGTATTGCCTAAAATTCGCTTCTAGGTACTCACTTTCATCATTTAAGGGACCTCTGAACAGAATTTCCTACTCTCTAGTCGTAGAACGGATTTTTACATAAAAAATTATACAAATTTTCACCTCCCTAGTTTTACCCCTTACCAGGAATGAATTCGAAAAATCATTCTAATTATTCAATTACGCTACATAAGGAACCTCTGTGCAAATTCTCATATTCCTTGAACAGAATTTATTGTTCCAGAACGTTCAACCCTTCATTTCACACCCTTAGAGGGCGAATTTCCGAAAATTGCTTCTTAGTGCTAAATTACGTTACATAAGGAACGTCTGCAAAATTCATACTTCTACAACCGATTTTAACAAATTTTTGTACAAATTTTCATCCTTATTTTTCAGGGGGATGCATGCCTAAAATTCGCTTCCCTAGGTACTCACTTTCATCATTTAAGGGGACGTCTGAACAGAATTTCATACTCCTAGTCCTAGAACGGATTTTACATAAAAATTATA